TGAAATATTTCACTGTGTGTAATGAATCTAATATATGAGTTTCACTTTTTGAATTACTGTAATAAATTAACTTTGTCATGATCACTAATTTATTGAGATGCACCTGTAATGGCAGATAAAACAATATTCCAAAACAGAGTGAGCCTTAACTACTGAAATGCGACAAGATCAGAATGATCTATTTACAGCCTGTCGTCTGTTTGCGTGAGAGAGAGAGCAAGAGCAGGGTATGGGGAGCTCAGCAAATCAATGCTTTGCATGCAGCTCTACAGTTGCATGGGATTTTACCCATTTTAAATAGTAAACATAATAGAAAACCAATATGTGACAGTCAATGTTGATACTCTGGCAGGCAACTAAAATAAATTTGCCTTTGATAAAAACAACAAGACATTGAAACTGTAGTGAAAGGTGTATATGTTGTTGGTATAATATTGATATAACTACGAACAGATTATTTTCACTGCATAGTTTTGCTTGGAACAGCTTGCAGAAAAAATGGACGAGACCTTGACTCTCTAGCGAAGCACGGTTGCAGCACTGCCTGAGACTCACATAGGCAGTGTGGCTGCTTTAACCCGTTAACATCGGTGCCAAAATAATTTCCTGAAAATAAGGATCACCTTAGAATGAGCCGTCCTCTGCTACAGAGTGTTTCTACATATCCCAGAATGGACAATCCAAACACCGATTGTAGCTAGGGCCTTTGTAGTTTCTCCTACAGGCTTGGAACAGTAGGGTGAGACGAGGGTAATCTAAAACTCTACCGCTACATGACACTAAATCCTACACAGTGATCCTTTAAGAACTACATTTATTACATACTTATCTTAAAAGCATGCGTTACATGTTTATACTTTTTGGGTTGTGGCTGAATTTACCTAGTGCACAAATGGACGAATTTTACTGTAAAACAGCTGCATGAAGTGCTGATTATGCACTGGCTACAAAAACTGAAGCTTATAGTTTACCTTCAGATGCTTTAGTTGCTCTTTCTGTTGGCCAACACATTTTTCAAACTCCTCCAGAAGTCTCTCAAGTGCAAAGACTTCTTGACCAAGTTTCTTAATCTTATTTTGAGGCACTTCTAAATGTAGAGAGAGAGAGAAAAACACGACACACTAATTTTAGCTTTGCCTAATAAAACAGTGTTAAATGTTACCAATAAATCACTGTCATACCAACAACTGACAGATCCAGCAGGCGCTGTAAGGATGATATCCTGTCATGGAAGTGGTGGCCAATATCCTCCAGCTCGCTCATTTTCCTGAAAGAGAGACACATTCAATTTAGTTACTAAAAACAGACATTAACACATTATTTTACCTGCTAACCTGGTGAAAAAGTTTTACAAATGTAAAAGTGGAGCTGCAGTAGGTAACTTTTATGTATAAAAAAAACGTTTTGTCATGTCCCCTTGCTGAGATTTTCACTGTTTATACAGTAGGAAATAAGACAGATAATCTGTGAAAAAAATCAGGTTCCTCTGTTTCATTCTAGTGCTCCTAATGGCATTTGTAAGAATCCACCAGGCCTAAATGAAAACAACCATTTAGTGCCTAGAAAGATAACAAGATGGTCTGGGCTGGAAGCTGTTTCTTGAGCCTCATTCCCAGGATCCCAAAGCATCTGTATTTCTCACCTCTGATTGGTTGTTGTCGTTCAGGCCGGGGGGATTCTTGCAAATGCCATAGGAGCACTAGGAGGAGCCAGAAGAACTAGATTTTTTTCACATATTCTCTGCCTCATATACTACTGCTAAGATATACTACAAGTTTCAGCAAATACGTTAAAAAGCGTTAAGGCTTTGACTAGGATGTTTAATATCCTTTTACAACAGTAACTGCAAAAGGGGTGAATTGGTCGCTCAATTTTGTCAACTGTTTACCTTTCCCCTTAACTGCCGAAAAGCTGGGAAACACAAGAAAGAAGAAATACGATAAATACCTTGAATAGAAGTAACGTTAGTTATGTCTGGGTCTACTTAACGTTAGTTGCTAACGATACTTAACGCTCTCGGGTCAAAATACTAAGTTAAGAACTAACGTTAACGCAAATGCAGACATCATTAAGTATGAAGAAAACAGGGAAGTTTTTCCGACTTAGACACCACGAGGCTCGCGCTATAATGTATCTTTCTAGTCGTGAACCTAAAACGGTGCTTTTCATATTTTTTGTCAATACATACATTAGGATAACTTACACACGTTTACTTTTCCGTTCACCACCGCTGCTCTTCCCCAATGCTGTGTTGCCGGTTAAATTTCAAATTTGACTCGAGACCTAACGGCGCACGCGCTGTTTCATTGCTTCCCTCAAAGACTGCAGGAAAAATGGCAGTTGTCACACAACAAAAGTTTACATTACCGCCCTCAAGTGGTAGCTATACAATTAAGCAAACTAAAAAAGAAGAAAGGGTCATTACATCATAACACCAACATTCTAATGCTGTTTGGTGCCTGTTCTATTAGTCTATGGGAGATGCATGTAGAACATATCTAACGTTACGTCGTATAATAAATAATAATGAACTTCATCATCTTCAACATTCCAGGAGGCAATAAGGTAAAATAGTCAGAGAAATAAAATCACACCAAAACGAGGTACAAGATTAATGACTCCCATAAGTAAAAAAAATAATTTTTAATTTATTATCTTTTCTATGTAGGCCTATGTGTTTTTTGTTGTTGTTGTTGTTGTTGCTAGAATTAATGCATTATCCAACACATTCCTTATGTGTATTGCGGTTGCAAGTCATATTTAAAAAATAAAAACATTGTATGGTAATATTACACCTCCATTACACACCAAATATTCCTATCCATCCAGCTGTTATAAAACATTTTTTTTATTTTATGAAGTAAAACGTGTTGGTACTAGTTAAGTTGCTATTCCCACAGATGGCGAAGTGGGTGTGCACCTCTGTGGCTTACAGCAGACACGTTGAAAAGAGAGTGAATAACGAATCCACTTTTTTAACCCAAACTTTAGAAACTCTGCCCCCGCCTCTCTTCTGTAAGCTCTCGGGGCTCAAGCAATGGCTTAAAACATACAGCGGTATGTGGGTCAGCAGCACCTCTGTCTTTCCGATCCTTCACATCCAACACTGCAAACAACCCGTGATATGCGCGAATTCCTCCCGAAAAAACGAAATAAGCGAATTTCACGTCACCCGACGCAAATTCGTATCTTATTCGCGTCTTTGTATTGACTTTGTATGTAATCTACTTTATATTAATTATATTCGCTTTGGTTATAACATAGCATAATAATTCTACAGTAATACTATTAGCCTACGTAGTAATAAGTACGTAACATTTAGTGTAACTAATTACTAATACATTTCAGTAATATTATTACAGTTACCCTCACCAAAAAGAATGAGTTACAACCTTACTTTTGTTGTCACCTCCTACTGATTTGAAATACAACAATTCAATCACATCCTTGAATTCATTTTTGTAATTTTGGAGGAAACTAGCTTGGAAGATGAAAACACTTACATTCAGCAGCTGATTTTAACAAAACAAACTGGAGAAAAGTCACAATTACCAATGTTGTAGGGAGTAGCAGAAAGAAAGTAATACAACTAGTAGTGTAAATAATTACTGTTACTTTTACTTTTGAGAAGAGGAATGAGTAATGAACAATAAATTAACTAACTTAAAGGAAGTAATTAGCCCAACACTGATTATGAGGTGGGGAGTTGTGATTGTAAAATAGTTTTCAAAAATGTAAGACCTGTTGGTGAAATCTTCGAAGACAGTTTGGGGACATTATAAGATTTTAAAATAAATTCTCTAACAGCCATCTTATTGAATACTTTGAGGGAATAAGTGCCACATAGATTTAACACGTATTAACTAGTGTTAAAGTTCCATTCATTACGGTGGCCCAGAGGTGTCAGGCCGAATACAAAAGCCACAACACGAATACAAAAGCCACAACGGAAATGAAACTACAACGGAAGTCAAACTACAACGGAAGTGATCCACA